CGCATCCTACCCTGCAAATAGGATAATAAGGAAGTTTTTTTCAAGTGTGTCTCTAGTTCCCCTTCCTTGCAGGACTCGGAAAGCAGCGGGCATAGAGCTGGAGGACCCCAGACCTATAACTGAGGGAGGCCGGACGTTGCTCCTCCTCCGTATAAGGAACAGCAAGGTCGAAAACAAAAAACCTAAACCCAAACCAGGATTGAGTCCGTACGTGCTCCAGGTTCTGTCTGAAATGTCTGGGAACCGGGATGTGAATGCTGTTTTGCAGTCTAGTGTTGGACAAAAGAAGCCGGTGAAAGAGGAGAGAACACAAGATGAAGCCATAGAAAGAATACTGGCAGCACGCGTCCCTTTCTGAGATCTTAATCCAGGAAGGTACATTCGTCACTCGGGGTACAGAGGAACAGCTCAGTTCATTTGCATCGTTCATTAGATGTCATTATGTACCATACACAGCTGGAGAACTCCATAACCCTCCTTCACACTTTATGCTCGTGTGTGTAATACACAGATGAATATTACCATATATACATACAGAGTGTGCATATAGAGATGGCTGTTACCTGTACAAGAGGAAATCCAAGCTCTGAACAGTGGTCAGTAACCTAAGGGAACAAGTGTACATGTAAACCTAGGCCCACTGCCAGCCCAACACCAGAAAATGTCCTTACTCTCATTCTGTCTAGCAAAAGGCAAGACTAAAATCCATCACATTCCTGTGTTGTACCCTTCAGTGTCCAAATGACAATTGTTATGGTATAGGTCCCCCTGAACCAACTTTTCCATCACCCAAGATGTTATAGTGACTTCTCAGTGCAGGTCAGGGGTCACTACATTCTTTTGGTCACAATGTCCACTTTTATGTGGTCACTCCTCTTTCCCCGGCTTCTTCCCCCTAAACTTGGAGAGTACAAGGCAGAGCATGTACATCCACACTAGATTGTCAGTAGGTGTCCAGAAGCCATTTCCAAAGTCCTCATCGTTCTGATGACTTCAACTGCACACATCCTGCCAGGGAAAGGACAGTTCCAGGGGACAGGGAGGGACATTTGTAAACTGCTCTTCTCTGCACGCCCACCTCTGGAGCTGGGGCACTGTGTAAGGACACACAGCCATGTGCGGTGTTAATTACAGCAGAACAGCTCCAGTTTCCCTGTGTGCCAGGCAGGATCGTCCTCCAAGATGTCTGTGCCTATGCACAGGCTTTAGGGCTGGCAGGGGTGGGGTGGGGTGAGATGGGAGGCCTGGACTACCAACTGTTCTCCCTTCTGATCCTGTGGGAGCCAGTCCTCAGTGAGAAGGCTTCCAGGTCAGTCCCAGCTCACCTCCAAGTCCCATGACCAAAGCCTGTGGTGTCTTCAGCAATGTGGACTTACCGTCAATCTCTGGGAGGTGACCAGGGCAATGACAATGGCTCCTGTTATCTTGGGAGTCTCACTTGTCTCTCTGACCACAGAGGGGAGTTTTTACCTGCCAGGTACTGGGATATTTTTTAGATGAGCGTGACTCTTGGGTGAGTACCGTCACTTCATGTGGTGTGGCATATATATCATTCATTATATGTATGTGTGTGTATACACATGCATGTGTATTAGTAAGCTTATAAAGTAATGCATCCTAATGTTTTGTTTCAAATTCTCACAGTGCTATTTATCCCCCCTTCTAGTCTGTTACTCTTCCTCCTGATTCCTCAGTTAAGGCCCCCCCCTGGGTAGCACTGAGCCTTTTTCAGGGTGACTTTTTTTTTGTTTTGAATTTTTTGTTTGTTTGTTTATTTGAGACAGGGTTTTCCTGTGGTTTTGGAGGCTGTCCTGGAACTAGCTCTTGTAGACCAGGCTGGCCTTGAACTCTCAGAGATCTGCCTGCTTCTGCCTTCTGAGTGCTGGGATTAAAGGCGTGCACCACCAATGCCCAGCCAGGGTGACTTTTTTTGTTTTTGTTTTTTTGGTTTTTCGAGACAGGATTTCTCTGTGTAGCTTTGGAGCCTATCCTGGCACTCGCTCTGGAGACCAGGCTGGCCTTGAACTCAGAGAGATCCATTTGCCTCTGCCTCCCAAGTGCTGGGATTAAAGGCGTGCACC